AGTTTCTTGTGAATCTATAGCTACAGTATTCGTCTTTTTTTATATGTTGACAACTAAGTTTTTCACTTTTCTTTATCATTAAGATGCTTGTTAATTGACCAAGAATCCACCTTTGATTTAGAATGATAAGTAATTATTTGGTAATTATTTGCAGAAAGGAGCAAAGCTCAACTTTGTAAAAGAATCTGAATCTTTAGCAGTAAAAGATGGAGTTTCTTCTGCAAGGAGGAGAGTCTTTAATTGGGACCATTAGGATTGCTGTTTTGCCCATAGCAAAAGTTTTTACCATTTGCTTCATGGGATTTCGCATGGCCTCCAAGTATGTTAACATCTTGCCAGCCAATGGAAGGAAACTTTTAGATGGGGTTAGTTCTTTTTCCTCACTCCCTACTAGCCAGCCTGTTTGGCCAAGCTTCTTCCGAGGCAAAAGCGCCCTTTTTTGGGTTAAAAGAATTTTTTTTAAAATTAAGGTGTTTGACTAAGCTTTTGAAAGGAACAAAAGTGTTTTTGAGGAGAACGAGAAGCAGTTTTGACGAAGCAGAAAAAAATACTTCTCTCTGACAGTATTTTTTTATAAAATATTTTTGAGAAAAATACACTTAGAAGTAGTTTTTTAAAGTTTGGTTATTACTTTTCAAATTAATTAGTCAAACACAAACTATTCTTAACAAAAGTACTTTTGAGAAAAGCACTTGTCAAAATAAGCTGACTTTTGCAGCTTGGCCAAACGGGCTATACATAGGGAATACATAGTAGCGGCAGTGCCGGATCTTGGAACGTACAACCTTTAAAGTTATTTAACACCATTGTACATATATGATGTTTGTCACACACACATATATTGCACCGGCCTCTGTCAGTAGGATACTTAGACTGCTTCATTTTAATCTCCAATTCATGGTTTTATGCAGTTGGTGTTTTCACTTTTGCTCCCATGTTTGATGTTCTCTCAACTTGGACAAGCCATTACTTTTGAGAAACTGCTTCAGTGGTAAGGATTGAATACAAACTTCTCAATTTCGCAATTCCAAAATAGTTGATTCAACTGATATTCATTCATTTTATCAGGTGGTTTATCCCTGTAAACGTAGTCATTGCCACCATATCTGGTTCTATTATAGGTTTAATTGTTGCCACAATTGTACGCCCACCATACCCGTATTTCAAGTTTACCATTATACAGATTGGAATTGGTAAGTGTTATGCTGTTCCCTTGTTACCACTCATAATTAGTGTTATGCTGTTCCCTTGTTACCACTCATAATTATTCTGAATTGGTGGTTATGGAGTTAACTGCACTTAGTAGTATGGTTGCCTGAAGTTGGTAGTTGGAGAGTGCATTTATAACTTTCTTTTCACAATACACCTAACGTCATAATAATAGTTAAAGGTTCCTTCTAGGCAAAATACATAAGTTACCCCCTAAACTATGGACCAAATCCCTGTTACACACTTTTTACGGACGAAAATTACATTACACACTCAACATTTTCAAAGTGTATCTAATACACACTAGTTTACCTACGTGGATAGTGCGTGTTTTTTTCCAACAAATGAGTCGCGTGAACAAAAGAATTTTTGTGTCAGATGTCAATTTTCTTTAGTTTTTAAATTTTTAAAATTAAGTCATCTTCTTCCTTGTTTAATAAAATCCTGCCATGGCTGCTCCTTGAGACCTTGACACTTAGATCCACTTCTTTCCACCACCCGATCTCCTGCTTCTCAAATAAACCCACCACGATTTCTTATCTTTTTTCATTGATTAGTTTCTTTTTTTTTTTTTTTTTTTTTTTTTTTTTTGCAGATCTTTGGGCGAGAAATTGTGACTAGATCCAATAATTAAAGTTTTTTTTATAGCTCCCCCAACCATTAAAGCTTGCCTCAAGCTTTTGCATAGAAGATTATTTTTTTAGCGGAGAATCATAGCTTGAGCTTTTGGCGTGGCAGAGTCTAACTTTTCGAAAAAGAAATTCCAACCATTAAAGCTTAACTCAAGCTTTTGCACATAAGTACACTCTTTAATTTTATTAATGGATGAATTTTTAAATAACTAAAATATAAAATTCTTAGTTTTCTTCTCTAAGAAATATACTTTCTTCCTTATTATTACAAATTCGTTGCTTCAGTTGTGGAAATCGAAATGACACAAAACAGACCATTGAAACATGGAATGGTAGTTAATGGTAGTTAAACTTTTACAGAAGAGAAATGAAAACTGAGTTGGATCTGGGCTAAAAATTTCTTATTCAATTTCAATGGAAAAGATGAATTTTTGGGTGTATTTTCTGGTATTTTGGTTAGTTAATGGTGGCTTTGTCATTAAGTAAAAGGTGGGGGAAGAGGCTATGGTGGTTGATGATGAAGAGAGGAGATGGACGACATCAATGGTGGTTTAGAACTTTAGATGGAGAAGATGAGAGGTATAGTTGTAATTTTAATTATTTTATTTTTTAATAAAAAATAATGACATGTGTCGCTGTTTGATTGGTGCGTGATATTACACATCTTCTGAAAAACTGGTGAAGGAAAAAGTAGTGTGTATTAGATACACTTTGAAAATGTTGAGTGTGTAATGTAATTTTCGTCCGTAAAAAGTGTGTAACAGGGATTTGGTCCATAGTTTAGGGGGTAACTTATGTATTTTGCCAATTATTTAATGTTATATTATGCAGGCCCAGAGATGGAGTTCCATCATCAACTGGGCCAAGAAAATCCTTTGACCGAAGTAGCTATGAAAATGGAGTAAACAACAATTAGTAATTATTGTTAGGATGAATTATGTTTTTTTTGTGTTGTAGCTATTGAATAACTCTCTGCAACTTAAACTTGAATCTTGGATGATGTGGATTTTGGGTATGTTTTAATATAATGAATATTTTGCTTATCTAAGTCTCTACTATAATTTATGTTAATCATTATGATGGGTGCTTGATAACATATTATGATGGATTTTATGCAATAGAAAGGATCAATGATCTAAATGTGGAATTGAAAAATTAACATTAAAAATATTACAATTATGGCAGTATAAAATGGCTATAATTTGAAAGGGACAACAATTACGGCGGTTACAAACTGCCACAATAAGCAAAGTAAACAGTCGTACTTAAATATGCATATTGTGGCACTTTTATCTAACTGTCGCAAACCGCCGTATTACACCTTTTGGCAGAAGCAATTATGGCGGGTGTGTGGGCCGCCATTAAAAACAATTACGGCGGTTCTTAACTGCCGCTATAAGCAAATCTGACCGCCGCAATTACCCCAGTTTTTTGTAGTGGTATTTGAGTTCATACAACAATATTTTTAAATACATTGTTAGTTCTATCATTTTGATGTTATTTTATCAATTAGTTATGCATTCAATCTAACTGTAGTCATCTGTATTTTCAACCTAACTGCATCCATCTATATTTAAAACAACAATACAATGAAATACAGTAAAATACTCTCAATACAAATAGAAAATTAATGAATACAATCAATGAAATTATCACGACCCAAACCGAAGGGCCGCGACGGGCACCCGGTGCTTTACTCAACCGAGTACCAAC